GACTTTTTATAAGGGCAGGGACTAACAGAACAAGGGGTGATGGCTTGAAACTAAAAGAGGGGAGATTCAGACTAGATATAAGGAAGAAATTGTTCATAATGAGGGTGGTGAGACACTGGCCCAGGTTGCCCAGAGAGGTGGTAGAAGCCCCATCCCTGGAAACATTCAAGGTCAGGTTGGACAGGGCTCTGAGCAACCTGATCTGGTTGAAGATGTCCTTGTTCACTGTAGGGCATTGGACAGGATGGCCTTGAAATGTCGCTTCCAACCCAAACCAGTCTATGGTTCTATGATCAGTAGCCATCAGCAGAGAGAGTAGAAAGTCAAGCTATAAAACAAGCCACCCTTCCTTGAATGGGACAACTTGGTCCCTGAAGAGTACATCATTCCCCCTCTCCCTGCCTTGGGCTGTTCATCTACAGATATGCAGCAGCATGGTGTAGGATGGACTCAGAAAGAGTGAGGACTTTCCAATTGCCTTCCAATACCTTAAGGGGGCCTACAAGAAAGCTGGGGAGGGACTTTTCATAAGGGCAGTTAATGACAAAACAAGGGGAAATGGGTTCAAGCTGAAAGAGGGGAGGTTTAGATGAGATATTAGGAAGAAGTTCTTCACTGTGAGGGTGGTCAGACACTGGAACAGGTTGGCCAGAGAAGCTGTGGCTGCTCCTCCCTGGAAGTGTTCTCGGCCAGGTTGGATGAGGCTTTGAGCAACCTGGTCTAGTGGAAGGTGTCCCTGCTGCTGGCAGGGGGGTTGGGACTGGATGAGCTTTAAGGTCCCTTCCAACCCAAACCATTCTATGACTTCCAACAAAATTCCAACATTACCCAGTGTGACAAGGAACAGGACCTGTGACACCACTGTCCTTGCATCATTAAAATGCGAGCACAGACCCTACACCTCACCCTCGCTCACTGCAGATGGGAAACGTGCTCCTTATATCATTAAATGTATTTAAATGTGTATGGATGGGCCATGGGATGAAAAAGAGAAGTGGAGATTTTAGGGCATTACATGGACACTGAGCACAGGCACCACTGTGTGTGCTTTCGAGGGCTGAACAACTTAAAAGGAATTGCAAATCCTTATGGCTTATATATATAAATATATATACACACACATATATATAAATATATATACACACATATATAAAAAATATATATACACATATAGATATATACACATATATATTATATATATATACACACATATTTAGATATATACACATATATCTTAAAAAATATATATACACATATATATAGCTATATACATGTATATAAAACAAGCGAGCTATTTGAACCAAGTGTTTACATTCCTTCTAATTATATTCCCAGTACTAAATTACAACACCCAGCATATTAATTAAACAGTAGTAGCAAAAGTCTTGTTTCTTTTGTGCCCGTGCTTCTGCAAAAGGCTAATTTCAAAGCTTCTGCACTCACCGACAGCTACTTTTAAGAAGCATTTTCAAGGAGTTAAACTAATTGTACGTTATCACAAAACAAAAGAACTGCCAAGAACTGGCTCTCAGCTGGAGAGGGAAGGGACCATGTGGAGGTGGAAGACCAAGAAGAAAAAGCCACCCTGAGCTTGTGGGACAGGAGAGCTGGTGGGAGCCAGCAGCACTGCAATGTTTGACTTCAGAACATCAGGTAGAAAAAGGAAATATCGTTCAGTTTAATCACAAAAACAGTTGAGGAAAAAAAAAAATAACCACTTTTAAACAGGTAACTTGGTAATATTTTCAACCTGTTTTTCTCTGGTCCTTTCTCTTGGTCTTTCCATGTGTTTCTTGCTTTTAGCCATCCATCTTAAAGCCCAGGGTGAGCAGACAATGTCAGACTCATTCACTTTCCAGGATTCTAATGCACTTAGAGGTTTAAGTTCCACCCAGAAAGTCCAAAAGGCAGTTTGTGCCATTTAAGAAAAAATATTTGTGCAATTTAAACAACAGCTAGGTTATATTTAGCAGTGACTCAATCAGCCACAGTTGACTGATCTTTGTTTTAAGGCAAGGATAAACCAAAGTGAAATCTGTCTCTACCCCGAAGGACTCCTGCAGATGGCTCCCAGGCTCAGGTGGCTTCTGAAGTTCAGAGGTCAGGCTCAGATGAGCTTTGTGATTACTTAGTCCTGGTGAGCCCAGAAAGCCCTGGGTGACCATATCATGACAACAGGCTCTTTCCACATTCTCTTTGTTGAAAACCACAGGATGTTGTGAGCTGGAAGGACCCACAAGGATCATGGAGTCCAACTCCTGTCCCTGCACAGGACAAGCCCAACATTCACACCATGTCCCTGAGGGACTTGGCCAAATGCTTCTGGAATCTTGCCAGGATTGGTGCCATGAGCACCTCCCTTGGGAGCATGTTCCAGTGCTCCACTACCCTCTGCCTCAAGAACCTTTTCCTTGTGGTCAACCTAAAAAAGTCCATGCTCATATGCAACGAAGAGAAAAAGCCAAAAGCAACAGAAGAAACAGTCTTGTCACAGAGGAGTTTATCCCTGTTTCCACCCACTGCTGCAAGCACGGTGATGGTAGAGCCCATCATCCACAACCTCCCTGCCCTGGCTACAGTTCCAGTATAGACAGTCACAGCACTGACAAGGGAATGTAACCAAGAGCAGGAGGTTGAAGTCAGATACACACATCAAATCCTGATGATAAACACCCAGGGCCTCACTGGATAGAGCTAAAACACCAGAAGAACAAGTGCTGCTACTCTGTGGCTTTAGAGAGACCAGGTATGATTCTGGTAATGAAAAAAAACCCCAAACCCTAAAAATCACATCGTAATTCTTGAAAACCCCACGTGTCAAAAGATGGTCATTCTGCTTCCAGACCTAAAAGGAAACTTGTTACATTTTGTCCTTAAAGATTGTAGGGGAGAAGGACATGGTGCTAAGGGATTAGCATGATGAGATGATGACCACTAGGCACACAGAAGGAAAAACACAAAGGAAATCATGGGAATTAGGCAAAGTACTGAACTGAAGATATGGGCAGAGAAAAGAGAGTAACAGACAGGAAAAGTTAGCAGGGAATTGGGTAAATTATCCCTGGAGCTGCAGATCCTAAAAGTCCAGCTTAGAGTCTGCTGTTGGTTTTCCAGAGGCCAGCAGTGCCAGAGCTAGAGCTGTACCCCCTTGTTCTTCCAGCTCTGGGGCAACTGAACCAGCAGCTTCACTGTGCTGCTTTCTTCTTAAAACATGATAAAACTACAGAATAGGCTCAATTAGTTCATCATCATTAACTTCCAGTATTTGACACATCCTAATAATCCTCTAAAAGATATTAACATCTAGAGTAAATCACGGAATGATGATTTTTCATCTAGAATAAGCTTAAAATTAGGATAAGAAGCTTTTGTTTTGCTCCAAAACTTTTAGAGAGGCAAAAGGAGTGCTAGAAAATTAACGTTATGGTAAATCTCAGCCACGCTGAAATGGCTCATTATCACCCTGTTAAAAAGCACTGGTTGTTTGCTGCTCCCAGTTGGTTTGTTTTTACCTTGGGGGTGACAGAGAAAATAAATGTCTTAAAATGTTCAGCTTGGGTCTGTTCTGCTCTTGCTCATTGGCTATTTGCTTTCAGTATGTCCTGGTTTTGCTGGAATAGAGTTAATTTTCTTCTCAGTAGCTGGAATAGCTGTGGTTTAGGTTCAGTGGGGGATTTGTTGTAAGAATGTTGATAAAGTCCTAATGTTATCAGTTGCTGTTGGAGCTCAAGGTCATCCTGTTTGGCCAGTTCACAGGTGGGAAGGACTGGGAGGGAGAAGCATAGTAATTAGCAAAACCCAAAATTGGCATTTGGATGTGCCAGTGAGATATTCCATCTCATACCACATCATGGTCAGTACATTAACCAGGGCTGACTCGAAGTCGGGGGGGATTCTCTCAGGGATCGCTCGGGCTCTCACTCTTCTGGGATTGTGGTTTTCAGGACTGTCTCTGCTCCAGGATCGCTGGCTGGGACAGGCTGGGCATCGGTCGGCAGGTGGTGAGCAACTGCACTGAGCATCAATCACTTGTATATTCTGTTATTACTGTTATCATTATAATTTTAATTTAATTAATAAATAGTTTTAATCTCAACCCACAAGTCTCCTTGCCCTTTTCCTTCCAATTCTCTCCTCTACTCCCTTGGGTGGGGGGGGAAGAGTATAAGAAAGCGAGTGTGTTTGGCTGCAAACCAAAAGGGTGAAACCACCACAAGCATTATTTACCCTCAATGGGAAGATTTTTTTCAAATTACGCTTTTACTTGTGGCTCTGCCATGATTATAGTAAACCAGAAAATCGCTACACAAAGAGCAGCTGGGAAAAGGGACCTTTATATCTGAGGCATTTTTAACAACAACCTGGGCCTCATACATTTGAGAGAGAAGCTAACAGAGACGTTGCACATCCTCTCTCCTCTGCTGGGTACCTCCTGCTCCCGACACCTCTCCCAGCAGATCAACTCCTCACCTGCGGTCCCCAGCCGTGGCACGGGTACAATATTGCTGTGTGGTTCTCCTGAGGGCCCTGGTCAAGGCAGACATCTTTTGCCTTGTTGTTTCGAAGCTGTAAGAAATAAAAAAAGTGCAGAGTTATACATCTCTTTGGAGATGAGCAATAAACTGAGGCACAGCAACGTCTCCAGCCTGTCTTGCTATAGAAAGAACACACGGTGCTCTATCACTCAGCATAATCAGGCAGAGAAAGGTTTAGTGTGCCATATGTTTTCTTTAAATCCAGGGCCTAATGATGACTGCTTTTATATAATAATCACTATTCAAAGGAGCCAACTTCCTCTGACACAGTTTTATTTCTATCTGGTCATGCGTGGTGGCAACAAACATATTTTTAGATTGCCGTCAGCGCATTTCCAGGAGCCTGAAACCAGTGCAGGATCGCTTGTGTTTCATCAAACTCTCCAAGTGCTCAACAAGGCAGGGTAAAATATTCAGCTGGTACAAGAAACCCCTTCAAATCATCGCAGGGATGCAGGAGGAGACACAGGGATGGCAAAGCAGCTGTCAAGTACTGAAGGACACACTTTAGAGGGAGCATGGATGTGCTGGGTTCATGCTACAAAGCCAACCAGCCGCTGAACCCCAGCCACCAGGTCCATTAACATAGAGATGTCCTCTCTCCAGCCTCCCCATGGAGGGCAACTGCAATCATGCCTTTGAAAATACGACTTTTGGGGAGGTTTTAGCTCAAAGGCATTTAAGTAACTTTGATAATAAATCTTTCTTAAAATTAATGCCTATCTGGGGTGCTTGGGTTGTGCTTCAAGAAGCCTTCTCCAACTGCCACTATTCCATGAGACCTATTGTAACAGAGTTATTATTAGTTCCCATAAATACCTAGGTTTATATTCCCAGTATGGTCTCAAAGCCAGCAGAGATTGAATTAAGTCTTCTTACTTTATCTCATCCTTAAACTGTTGTGACAACGCACTGTATCCTACAGAGACCTTGTAAGGAATTAGGTTGAGTTTAAGTCAAAGGGTTTTATAAAATGACTATGTATTAAAAATATATGTACAGCTGCTTAATCCATGGAGTCAATGGGTAATACAGATAATTTTCTGTCAATTCAGGAAATGAAGTATTAAAATATTTTACTGTATATGGTGTCCAAGATCAGAAATAAATCCCAAAATTGTTTTTTAGAAGAAACAGTGAACAGATTTATACAAATCTATATAATTATACACAAATAGTAGGTTTTGATTCACATTTATCTCCTCTGAGGCTATTTCTCATCAGAGACTCACCAGCTGTAAACATTACCAGTGTGAGCTAAGGAACTGCTCAGCCATAATTACCTCGCCATAAGCAATGGTGTTGTTGTATCTTCTCATTTCTGGATAAACATGGTCCAGGTACCACTGGAAATTTTTACACTTCAAGCTCTTCCTTAATGCTTTTCTCTCTGAAACATCTCCAATGTCAATACCTGGATTCTGAAAGATAAAGACACAGCATGTCCCTGAACGGTTACTCTTAAAAAAAAGATTTTAAATGAGCATATTTCACTGATGTTTGATAGCACTTCCAAGCCGCCTGGAAACTGCCAATGGCTGAGTAACTCCACGCAGAGGCCATGCCAGGGAATTTTGGCATGTGTGTCCAAGGCTGAAATCATCATCACAGAAGTCAGAAGGAAGATGTGGGCTTCAGAGCCACAGCAAGAAGGAGATAGGTACTTCTCTAATAGGTTCTGAAGAAATCCTTGCAATGGCCACCAGACTGATGCTGGACACATTTTGGTCCTGGGAGGTAATTTAGAGAAGAGAACCCAAATGGAGAAGAAAAGGTTTTGAAGGAAAGAGAAGTGCAGTGCGACAGAGGTGAATCTTCCCACCAATTGCCCTGGGCTTTGGATCCATCCGAGAAAGAATTTGTCAATGGGCACAACGACAAAACACTTTTAAAAGATGTCACCTCCCTTTTAGGTACTGATGGACTGGACTTCCAGCAAAGCTTAACAGCAAATATACATCAGGATTTAGAAGATGGACACATGATGAATCCTGGAAATGTAAATCCCTGACTGCACATGGAACATCAAAGCTCTTCCCCTTACACCCCAAGGGTGGGTGACCCTACTAAGAGGCAACACAGAGGACAGCACAGTTAAAAGGTATAAAATAGAGGGGAAAAGAAAAGAAGAAAAAAAAAGAAAGGCTAAAGATTCATATATAATAGAAGCAGATATATAAGAATAAAGGAAAAAAATTACAGGAAAAGAGAAGTTGAGGCTAAATTTCAGAAAACCCTCCTGACAATTTGGACAATTATGCAGTGAAATAGTCTCCCTGGAGACACAAAGGAACCCCACTGCTCGAGCCAATTTAAAAGCAGCCAAAGCTACGAGATCTGTCCCTGGAGGAATAATCCGCCAGGAACAGGGAATGAAGAGAGCTGCCTCCCTTTAACCTTTTATACCATCACAGAATTTGGGGAACTAAGGCAGCAGCCAGGTGAAGGAAATCAAAGGCAGAGTGCAGCCCCTTCTACTCCTTCCTACAGGTGTCGGCGTTTCTACTCTATTTTAGCTCTTGCTCTTGTCTTTTCCAGTGATCATTAAATTCAGCTGGGAAAGCAATTTTCCATTACAACGCTTGTAATGATCTTCTAATGAATTATTCACTCTGCTTTAGAGAAGACACCATTTTAATGTGTGATTGGTAGCTCATAGGTAAAAAATAAAGATGATTCAGTGTAGACAGGTAAGACAGGCTGAAATCTGAGTGGGTGAGATGGGATGCAGAGCAAAGCGGGACCACAAACCAGGCAGCATGTGAAATATTGAGTGCGTGGGGTTTGGTGTGGTTTTAAACATAGTGGCATCACAAAATAATTCCATATCTATGTTAATATCCATAACCCCCTGCACAACACCACCTGTCAAACAAGACCTCGCAAATTAAATCTCAATTTTAAATCTCAATTTTAAATCTTAATTTTTTAATCTAGATCATCTGCTATGATCTAGATTAAAATCCCAAATCATTTTGAGGGTAACCCAGATCTGTTTCCCCAGACCCACTTCCAAATAGTGTGACGCTGCATTTTCCAATCCAAGTCCTGTGGCTTCATGGTGAATTTTAATCCCTTTTTGCCATGCTCCAAAGCTGTTCCTGAGCAGGAGTGTGGTGTCTTATACCTAAAAAGGAATCAGCCCAGGGATCGGGGCTGCACCCATGATAATTTGTGATCCTTGCCCATGGGTGTTTGGATCTTACAACTTATTTTTAAGAGAAACCTGAAATCACTCATCCTGCAGCAGCTCTCTGCCTCTCCAACCCTCGGAGTGGTGCCCATCACAGCCAGAGCCCTCCTGCAGCTCACCAGCAAACAGCATTTCTTTCCATTTCCATTCATCTATTTCTCAATAAAGAACTAATCCAGGACTCTCCAGCACCCCCAAGATGACAAACCAGCAGCGCAGGCAGCTCATCGACCCTTCCCAGGTACCTGTTGTTCTCTAATGCAGTATTAAGTTGTGACTACCGTGGCTCTAAATGTCAGGAGCTCTCCTCAGATGTAACCTTTCCTCAGAAAGCAGCAGCAACTCATGTTTTAATGTTTTCCAAAATGCTCCGGAGCGCAGCGCTGTCAGCAGCAGGATCAGCACCACAGCAGCTCTTGGCAGGGTTGGGATTGGCAAAGTATGAACATCTTGTGTTTATTTTTAGTACCCAAAGGGTGGCTGTAAATAACGGCTCACACAGGCTCCGGCTGCTCACGGCCACGGTTCTCCCTCATGCTTCAACAAGTGCATCCCAGTGCTCGTCCCAACATGAAGCACAAATGGAGTGACTGGTGGGGAGCTCTGCAAGGCACCCCGAATCCATGTCCTATCCATCACCTAGAGAACATCGCAGAACATCCCAGAGAGAGTGTGGAGTCTCCATCTCTGGAGATGTTCAAAACCTGCCTGGATGCTTTTCTGTGCAACCTGCTGTAGGGAACCTGCGGTTGGACTGGATGATCTCCTGAGGTCCCTTCCACCCCCACCATTCTGTGATTCCCCCTCCCCACCACCTTGTCTTCTCCTCCTGGAAGGATCAGAGGCAAGGGATGGGGGGACTGCTCCAGCTAGGGGTGCTCCCAGCACCATCCAGACAGTGTTCAGAGCTGGGAGGCAGGAGATGCTCTTGGGTTTCATGATTAGACAGAACCTGCACAGAGACCAGAGCTCCAGCAGCAGCCTTGAACCTACATAAAGTCCTCCCGGACCCTACAGAGCTTTATACAGAAGTGCAGGGAATCACCTAGAGAGGTTCACATCCAGGATGTGTCCCTTGGGCATGGTCAGCCCACCTTGCTGGCAGGACTCCACGGTTTTCCAAAGACACATCATGCTGCCACACGGCAGGATTTACATAGAATCATAGAATCCCAGACTGGTTTGGTTTGGAAGGGACCTTAAAGATCATCCAGTTCCAAAACCCCTGCTATGAGCAGAGATACCTCCCACTAGACCAGGTTGCTCAAAGCCTCATCCAGCCTGGCCTTCAACACTTCCAGGGAGGAGCAGCCACAGCTTCTCTGGCCAACCTGGGCCAGTGTCTCACCACTGTGTAAGAAAATCTAATCATTTCTGAACAGAAATAAATAAAACCACCAAAGCTATTTAAAGAGAGTGGTTTTGGTGCATTTACACGTGCTGCTGCTGGGAGGGGATCTCCTCCCGTGAGCCACCAACCTCCAAACCTTTCCCTCTAAACGTTTCCACTTCCCCAACGCTGGGAAAGCAAATGGCCCAGACACCTGGACCACACATTGTCCACACTGAGCTCTGGGCAGCGACAGCATCTGCGAGCTCAGAAATCCAAGTTGGGCTGCACGTGACACAGACCTGCCCAAACTGCAGGAACAAAACCTCCTGCACTCATGATGCTGATGTTCATAATCTTGTGCCAACCGACTTTACAGACAGGCTCCATCTGCGGAGCTGTGTAATGACAAAAACTCACGCTGTGGAAACACTCAACGGGGAGATAAACACCACAATACAGCTTTAATTTTTAGAAATGAAAATAAAAAGGCTGATGTGAACCATAGGAATTCCTCCAAAGTCTGCAGATTTTGCAGCATCGCTGGCAAAGCTGAGGGAGCTCTGCTGACTTCCACAGCTGGGGATGTGACCCAGGGTATTTCAGGCTTTCCTTCACGCAGGGGCACTAAATACCTTATAAATCAAGATTTTAATGCAATAAAGTGAAGATTTAAGGTAGGGTGCAACGGTCGTACCTCCAGTGGCAGGTTCCACGCGATGTAGACGTGCGATTTGTAGTCATCCATCCACACCTCGGCCACTCGCAGGGCATTGCGCTTGGTGTAGAAACCAATGTTGTTGTTGTAGGGCTTCTTCTTGCGCTCGATGTGAGCCACCCTGGAGCAGGGCAGGACCTCCATGCTGCCACCACACAGCCACACCTGCAACGCAACCACAAAACATTATCAGTTAATGACAGAACAAGGGGAAATGGCTTGAAACTGGAAGAGGGGAGATGGAGATGAGATGTGAGGAAGAAATTCTTTGGTGTGAGGGTGGTGAGACAGTGTCCCAGGTTGGCCAGAGAAGCTGTGGCTGCTCCTCCCTGGAAGTGTTGAAGGCCAGGTTGGATGAGGCTTTGAGCAACCTGGTCTAGTGGAAGGTGTCCCTGCTGATGGCAGGGGGGTTGGGACTGGATGAGCTTTAAGGTTCCTCCCAACCCAAACCAGTCTGTGAGTCTCTGATCAGCATGAGGCTCTGCCGTGATGCAAAGGATCCACGTAGCAATGAAAGAGAAAGAAGTGGTGGGGTTGGAGTTTTCTGTAACATCTCAGCGAGCACAGAGCATCACATCATCTAACTGGCGAGTGGAAACCCATGACCAAGTTTTGGCCTTTGCTCAATGGTGAGACACACAGGGACAATTTAACCCAACACCTTGTGTTGACTTGAGATGGAACAGGTCTCTACCCAGCACGTGGTACTAACACATTGTAGGATTAAGTGCCGAGTTTACAGTGATGTCGCAACTAAATAAAAAGGATTAGTGACTGGAAGAGTTGAAACAATTCAAGATTGAAACAATTGCAAGATCTCCTCCTGCAGAAGGGATGACTCAGTGAAACATATGGCAGGGACAGATTTCTCCCACTTGAAAACATTTGTTCATTATTTCTCTTTTACACGCTGTTTAAAATTCCCTGAAATCACAGTTTACAAGTTAATAAAATCTTTTGAGATCTTCTTTTTATCGCATGGGAAGGGAATTCTCAGAAAGACTCGCCATACCTGAGTTCTTCCCTCCCTGTTTGCCTTCACCAAGAAGTTGTTTCTCTTAAATTAAAGACGTGTACCCAGGACACCAGGCAATCGTTGCAAACACATATGCCAAACAGGCCTAATAATCCCAGTTTCGCCTATTTTGCAGTCTGCTCCGCATTATCATTTTGCACAGTTGTGATAACACCCATCATTTCTGGGATCTCTTCCAGCCTCACCACCTTTTATCCCATCTGCCTTCCCTATATTTTACTGACCCTCTTCAATCCGCTCTCCCAGCACCACGAGGAGCCTCCTGGCTGCATCAGCTGCCCTTTGTCATCTCTAATGGTGGGTTTAGCCCATCCAAGGCAGGGCACGGGCACCTCCCAAGCCCAGGTGACACAAGAAGGGACAGTACAGCAGGGAGCCAGCTTTCCTTGGGGGAATGAATCGTGCTACTCCTGCTGCCCTCGCTTGGATCACTGCAGAATAGAATCCCAGCATTGCCTGGATTGGAAAAGCCCTTTAAGCTCATCGAGTCCAACCATGAACCCAACACTGACAAGTCCCCGACTAATCCATGTCCCTCAGCACTGTGTCTACACGACTCTTCAATCCCTCCAGGGATGGGGACTCCACCACTGCCCTGGGCAACCCCTTCCAATGCCTCAGAACCCTTTCAGCAAAGAAATTCTTCCTCACATCCCATCTCAACTGCCCTGGGCACAACTTGAGGCCATTTCCTCTTGTCCTGTCACTTGTCACACATGAAAAAATCAAAGCCCCGTTAATTAGCTGGTTCCTTAAAATAGAGAAAAAAGCCCCATCTTACTCCAGTTCCACCGTTTGACCTTTGTGAACACTTGTAAACACAATTTCATGCCTCCAGAGTGAATTCAGAGCTGATCTCTGAGATGAGGAACATGCCTGTCCCTCCTACTCAGCCACAACCATGCTCGCCTCTGGCCAGGTCTGCTCCAAGGCCAAGTCCACAAGGTCTGCTACAAGTTTTGCAACAGACCATAGGCTGGCAAAGCAAATAAGAAGAGAACAAGAGAGTTCTAAAGAAAAAAATAATTAAAGGCATTAGTTTGATAGAAACTGCCTGTGTTTCTTGCCTGCTCAGTTCTTTAGCTCCTCAGTGTCTTGGTAAAACAGGAGCATCGACCTCTACCCTTGGGAGTTCCCAAAGCTTCTGAGTTCAACCACAACGCTGACTAAACCTGCCAGTCCTGGAAGATCCCCAGCACCACCTGTTTTTGTAGTTTTGGGGGTTTGTTAGGTTTTGGTCCTGATTTGAGATCAGAATAATTATTTTTAAAATGTAAAAACCATGACATAATTAAAATGTCATTTGCTGGCACACTTGCCTCCAGCAGTGAATGTGCAACCTTGTCTTTCCGTGCTTTAGTTAAACAATTCACATGGGTTTATGCTGGACAGCTTTCCTAGATTTCTGGAATATCTGTATTCCAGAAATAGAAACGATCTTGAAATGCACATATTGTAACAACCTGAGAGAGACAGAGTGCTGGGCATTGTGCAAAGGGTGCTGGTGAGCAGCAGGATGACCATGAG